ACGTGCGCCCCCTTTTCCTCCCCCCCCCCCCCCTTCGCAGGACTGCAGCTAGTTCTCATTTGATCATGTTTCCCGAAGTGTTTTTTTTTCCCTGCACGCAATAAAGCGGGGAGAGACACATTTCTAATGCATCACCCGTTTGATAGTTCCAGCCCCGTTTTGCCCAGTTGAACACATCCAGCCGCTCATTCTGCCCCCGGCAGAGAAAAGGGCATTTACCTCTTTGCTCCGTGGTTATTAATATGCACCAAAATTATAGCTGTACGGTACAGCCCAAGTGTTTTTTTTTCCCTGCACGCAATAAAGCGGGGAGAGACACATTTCTAATGCATCACCCGTTTGATAGTTCCAGCCCCGTTTTGCCCAGTTGAACACATCCAGCCGCTCATTCTGCCCCCGGCAGAGAAAAGGGCATTTACCTCTTTGCTCCGTGGTTATTAATATGCACCAAAATTATAGCTGTACGGTACAGCCCCAGCTGTAATCGCCATTGATCATTTAGAGCAGATCCAGCATTTCAACAGCTAGAAATGCATGCTCTGTGAATAATCATGTATCTAGTAGTACAATGCCCCATATTACAATAACCTGAAAGGAGACAGAGCCTCTGGTAGTAGCTTTTATTTTTCATTCATAGGATTACTAATTAACAGGAAATAAGCATACAGCATAAACAAGTAAAATAATATGAAATATACTGTTCACTTTTGTCTAGTGCAATACAGATAATCTGACTTGCACACACAGATTGCTTTCCTAACAGTTTTAAAATGCACTCTTGGTTGCTCTCTTTAAAACAAAAACCTTTGTCACAAGGTACAATTCTCCACGATTAAAAGTGTAGGAGAACTAATTTACAGGGCAGTGAAGACAACTACACAGAGGGGCAAAATATTTGCTTTATGAAGTATTATCCTGCAATCTTTCCCCATGAAAGCCAACACCTGCTTTTAAAATGGGCTGCTGAATAGAGTCAGACTGAATGAAAAAAACAAGCAATGAACCACCACAAGATGTACATTAGCGGACTGTTGGTGCATGCTTCAAGCGAGCAGAGGCATTCAGCCAAGTGTGCCCAAAGCCTACAATACAAATGCACCTCCTGATGTGACTTATTCCTATTAATGTATGGCACCTTCCATTTTAAATGTCATTATTTAACATATTTTACACTATGAAATATAATACATCATTCAGACAAAAATAACGTAGAAAAGGTTATAAGCAATCCTCATCAGGGTGAACAGTTCTTCATGACAGTGCAAAGAATTTTTTCGTGCTAGTAGTGGTAAGCGTTTATGTTTTATATCGAGAGCAGGATTAGTCCCATTGACTTTACTTTTAAAATGTTTCTTCTGCTTCAGAACAAGTATTATCCTCCCAAGTGTCTATTAGAGCTAATGTAACTTTGCCTACCAATACAGACGGTGCGATTCTGCACAATGAAACATGTATCCCTTGGAGCAGGCCAGTTTCATTTCCTCCACTGGCACACTTTCTTCTTAGCAAGTTATTCAGTGCAGCTGTAATAACTCAGACCACATTAGAATGCTGAAGGATCACTCATCCCCTAAGCAAACTGCAACAGCCACCTGCATGCCTTCACGAGAAGGTGATGAGGGGGATGAAGCGAGAGAAATCCAGCAAGCATAGTTAAGTGGTTTTCAAACTCAGTTATTACATAACGGGAGAGGTGAAAGGAAGAGGTTGCGTCCAGCTGTGCAGCTCCAGCAAGAACTGGTTGAGGTGTGGCAAAAGCCATCAAGGAGCTATTTAAAAAGCTGGCAGGGACCGGATTGTCATAGGACAGTACCTGTAAAACACTGAAGTTCCTTTCACCTCCTCATAACAGGTATGCAAAACAGCAGATGAGCCACTTCACCTGCACAGGTTAAATAGGTGACTTCTGATGAGATGGGTTGCAGTCTAGGAATGTTACATTCAGAGTTTGTATATGTACATATGAGCTACAAACTTGGCAGTCTGTTCCAACCAACACTGAGGGATAGTATCCGATGAGGCAGTTTGTTGTTAGAGCTAATATATGCTGCGTATTCACTTTCTATCATTTGGTAAACACAATTTATCAAATGCTAGAGAAAAATACCAGCTCCAGTAATTTAAATACTCCAAAATATGAGTTGCACACAAAATCTGACATGCACATTAGCCCTTGTAATAGAAGTTCCAGACCTAAGAAAGCTGACTGGTGCCAAACATATCTATCCCTGTCCTAAGAAGCCCCCTCAGATTTTTTCCCATTCAGGTATGAGTCTGACATTTTCAAACTCCTAAATCAATGTACCTTACCCCTCTCTTTAGAATATTCCCAATACATAGAAAGAAAAATCAATAGCGGTTTCATCATTAGTGTGACATCAGAACCATAGTCTGCTGCTCTCTGTGCTGACTTGTAACACGAGGACAAGTTCTCTCACATAACTTGGATTCAGGAGTATTTAAAATATGATATCTAGGCATAAAGTCTCCTTGGAACCTTAAGATTTAACATGTCAGTTGGCCTGCAGTGCACAGATGAGGCTCTACTTCTGTAAACTGCTCCATACAGGCCAACCAGCTTGAAGGATTGGGGCCTAAATACGCCAGATCCTGCAGTCCTTCCACATGCACAACCCATTGACAACGGTGGATGTTTTGGCTTGAACAAGGACAATATATGGTATCTGGCCTGATATTTTCAAACTGAGTAGGCAAATCATTGTGCTTGTGCTCTATGTGTAATATACATTGATGTTAATGAA